CATTAGGCGCAGCAGTGGCTGGCCATGTCAGATATATTTAACGAAGGGCCTCTTGATTGTACGACGCAGTTTCAGCAGTTGCAGAAGGTCTGACTCTTCACTGCATGCCGTCCTATTCACCGCACTTATTTTTGTCGCCATATTACGTCGACTGACAAACAGTAATCAACATTTTTTTCATTAGGAAAGCACTGACCCCGTGTTTGGCTATCGTTGTTTGCCGCTAGTTTAGCCGGAATGTCTTCTCTGTCTACTGTCTACTTTTCCGTCGGGCATTGTTACTTCTGCACAATATCCACTTTGCGACAGCATTGTCCCGTTATTTAGTTTTTAAGCTTTCTGACCTACTGAGTTTATCAAGAGGGTGACAGTTTCTAACCGTGTGAGAACAAGTTCCACGACAATAACGCAAGTGTCTCTTGAACAAAAAGTGGCAGAATTAGACAACCGATTATGCGCAGTTGAGGAATGTGTCCGGGTCTCAGACAGCGAGCCGAATCGTCAACGGGTACCGGAGGTACTTTCGGTTAACAAGCGTCTTGACGAACTTGAAGATCGTTCTCGCCGAGAAAACTTGATTTTTTTATGGAATAGAAGATCACGATTCGGAAACGTGGGCGCAATCAGAAGAAAAAATTTGCCAAATCCTCAATGAAACTCTGAAGCTAAACTTGGGAAGTAGCGACGACCGCATATCCCGCGCGCACAGGCTAGGCAGATTTGTAGTTGGCAAATCTCGACCAGTGATCGTAAAATTTGCTTCTTTTAAGTTCCGAGAAAGCATACTGCAGTCTAGAAGTAGTTTTCGCAAGTCTCATGTGTCAATCAGCGAGGATTTCTGCCGCGCAACAAGAAGCGTGCGCAAGAAGCTTTTTGAATTCGGCAGGGCGAGTGGCGAGAAGTACACCGTCAAGTACAATAAGCTTTACATCAACAAAAAGTGGTTTGTGTACTCTCCGGTGACCGACAGCGTTTGTGAGCTGCATACAAATGCGCAGAACTCATCAGAAGCTTCGTCCTCCGCTACGCATGCCGACGAAGATACGCTCTTATCCTAACAAAGTTCACCCCTCGGCTACATATCGTAACTACTCAGTTTTATATTCTAACGTACGTAGTGTTCTTAACAAACGGGATGCATTATCTTCAATTTTTGATGACTGCGCCGCCGATGTTGTAGTGTTAACGGAAACCTGGCTTACCCCTAACATTGCAAGTGTAGAGCTGTTCGATTGTGAAAATAATTATACCATTTACAGATGTGATAGAGAAGAATCGCCAGGAGGTGGTGTACTTATAGCCGTAGCTGATTATATAGTTTCTAGCCATATATTAATAGCATCACCTTTAGAATTTGTCTGTGTTTCCCTCCATGTCAACTATCAAAATGTCATATTTTGTGGCTGTTACCGCCCTCCGAGTGCGACGCCAGAGTTTTGCGAGCAACTGCATGATGCTTTGAATGATATTGTCAAAAGGCACCCGCATACACCTGTTTTTATTCTAGGCGATTTTAACTACCCGAAAATAAACTGGTCACTTCCTTCCTGTTCATTAAGCTCACTTTCAGCCGACAGTTTACATTTCGTGGAACTGTGCGAAGACTTTAACCTTACCCAACTCGTAACGCAACCAACAAGAATGGGCCCCAATTCATCAAATGTTCTTGATCTGATTCTCACCACTGTACCTGACCTTGTCCATTCTATTTCATATATCCCAGGCATAAGTGACCATTGTTTCGTGCACTTCAATCTAACAGGTTCTTTAAGGCGTCGGTCAAACAATTGCAAAACAATAAGAGACTACTCACGCGGCGATTATGACTCAATCAACAGTGAACTCGAATCGAATTTTGAGAGCTTTGCTGATGGCTTCTTTGATCGCAGCGTTCAACAAAACTGGAACTTGTTCAAAATGAAAGTTGAATCTTTAATCACGCGATATATTCCCACATACGTTATCAAGGGTCGCCAACGCCCCCCTTGGTTCTCAACTGACTTAAAAAAATTGCGGAATAAAAAGAAACGGTTGTTCCGTCAGGCAAAGCAGACTAATTCGTTAGCCCGTTGGCACGTGTACAAATCTGTCCTTTCCGAATACAGAGCAGCTATCAAGGAAGCCAAGCGCGTTTTTCTTAATGATACCCTTCCTTCAATTCTTGTAACCAACCCTTCTAAGTTTTGGAAAACTGTTAAACCTAGGGAAAAGATAAACATTTCGCTTACGAACTCAGATGGGCAGCCAGTTCGCTGTGAAGAGTGTTGCATGGCATTAAATGATTTTTTTGTTACTTCTTTTTCAAGTTGTTCTGCTTCTGCGTTGCCGCAAATGCCTAGTCGTGATTTTTTACCCATGTATCCTGTTACCGTTGATGCCGTTGGAGTGCAAAATTTAATTCACAAGCTTAAGTTATCCTCTTTTTGTGGCGTAGATGAAATCAACTCAAAGTTTCTAAAAAACACTGCATTGTATTCATCAATTTACTTGTCCTTAATCTTTTCGCAATCTATTCAGACCTCCACTTTGCCGCTTGAGTGGAAGGTGGGGAAGGTGGTCCCTCTGCACAAATCTGGTAACACACAGTCTCCTCTCAATTACAGACCAATTTCCCTAATCAGTGTTCCTTGTAAAATGTTAGGACATATAATTTACTCCAACCTTGTCTCATTCCTAGAATCAAATTCTTTTTTTACTCCCTACCAGCACGGATTCCGAAAAAGTTACTCATGTGAAAACCCAACTTCTTTACTTTACTAATGACATAGGATCGGCTTTAGATCGCGGCTCACTTGTGCATTGCAATTTTCTTGACTTTCAAAAAGCTTTCGATAAAGTACCTCACCAATTACTCCTCCTGAAAATTAGTGCCTTAAACATTGACCCGAACATTCTTAAATGGATTGAATGCTTTCTGACTAAACGCACTCAGTTTGTAACAACTAATGGCTATAACTCACCTCTTTCTAAAGTAACATCCGGCGTACCCCAAGGTTCCGTATTAGGCCCTTTACTCTTTCTTATATATATTAATGATCTCCCAGACAGCATTAACTCCGCTATAAGGTTATTTGCAGATGATTGTGTAATTTACCGCGAAATAAACAATGAATATGATAACCAATTTCTACAGTCAGACCTTGACACTGTCTCAACCTGGTGCAATAAATGGCTTATGACTCTCAACTCTAACAAATCTAAATGCATGTCAATAACCCGGCGATCTATTTCTCCCCCTGTACCTACAGAACAAACGCCGTTCCCCTCCAGCATGTCTCTTCATATAAGTACCTCGGCGTTTACATTACCAACAATCTATCTTGGCACACGCATGTTACCTACATCTGTAATAACGCTAACCGAACGCTAGGATACTTACGCCGCAACTTTTCTCGCGCTCCGCTGTCCCTCAAAATTCTATTATACCGATCACTAATTCGCCCAAAGCTTGAGTACGCGTCCGCTATATGGGATCCCGTGCAGCAAAATTTAATTAACGCGTTAGAATCTGTTCAGAACCGCTCAGTTCGATTCATTTGTTCTAATTATTCCCGTACTGCTAGCATATCAGAAATGAAATCTAACCTTGACCTACCCAATTTAACTGTCCGGAGGAAACTGGCGCGATTGCATTTTTTTCATAAGATATTTTTTCACAATCCATCATTGAAGCGAGACCTCATTTCACAACCGTCATACCACTCATCGCGCATTGATCATCAGCATAAGGTTGCCATTCCGTTTTGCCGCACCAAATTCTTTTCAGCAGCCTTCTTACCGAAAACAGCCGCCGATTGGAACCACCTTCCCTCTTCCGTTGTATCAATAACAGACCCTTTGTTATTCAAGACTGCAATTTCTCAGCAATGCTTGTAACTATACGCAGTTTCCATTATCTATCTTTGTCTTGTATGTGCTTGAATTCTTATACATTTTAGTTGACTTATGTTGCCTTCCTGATTTGCGCATCTGATACTTGTTTCTTTATTTTGTCTTTTTTTCTTGTGTGTTATATATGTTGTACCCACCCCCTCTGTAATGCCCTAGGGGCCCTGAGGGTATTCTAATAAATAAATAAATAAATAACTGTGTGCATTCAATGAAACGTTGTCACATTCTAGAGGAGGTACTTGCTTTCTCTGGTCACTGTTTAAGGTGCTGCCGTTTGGAAACGCTGTGAGTCGTGAATGGTGATTGCGAAGAACGGCAAGTTTGCTGCATCCAAGCAAGCGGCAATGTTTCAGAGCTCAGGATGTAATATTGAAAAGTAGGCTCTTTGTTACGAGAATTCCGTGGCTTTCAATCGAAACAACATTAATTAATTCTAGCCTTCCCTGCTGGAAGGTTCCTCCGATGTTCGCTTCACTGATTGCTTCGTCAATGATTTTGGTCAGAATGCTACCCTTGATTTCTTTACAAATGTACAATTAACAGGCTCATTTACTTTATATAAAGGTTTTTATATACACATTTGAAAAATATAGCATAAGTATATTTCAAGGAGCCCCCACGCAGCCTCTGAAAAGGGGAAAAAAGGAATGAGGGATTTATTCTCTCTTAGCGTTTCCTGTGTTTTTTTTTTTCTGGTACAATTCGTGATGCCAGCAGTACGCTATTATGATATCACGAGGAAATAAAGTAATGATTGCTACATCTATGAGAAGTTTTAGTCGTGTATTGTCACTTACCTGGATTTGCCATTCAGTCGAACGTCCGTTCTGCTTCGTATTGCATGGCTATCACGGACAATAAACTGATCTCAGCTCGGTTTTCGCGTTTCCGAATGAATGAGTGTGAATAACAGGTCGTATATCGCCAAAAATTACGAAATGCCATATGCCCAATGCCAAGTGCTGCCATTTTCCGCATGTTTTATGAAAGAATGAGTGACGAGGGGAAAACAGCTCCTGTAGATTGAGTAGTGAAGGCGAGAAAGAAACTTCCCTGTCCTCTTTGAACTAGGAGTCGTTTAGGAGCCAGTCAGCAATAAAGAAACTCACCTGTCGGTGAACGGGGTGTGATGAGCGCTGGACTGTGGTGCTCCTCCTCCCAGGCTGTGACGATCACATGACTGCTCACGTGACTCGGTACCGGGCAGCGCACCAATAGGGCGCCGCCGCGCGGCACCGAACCCGGAGCCGACCACATGCGCAGCTCCCAGTCCTGGGCCACCACTGCACGAGCAAAAAAAAGTACAGATGTATATGTCAGAGCGCTGTTTGTTCACCTCATATGTAGGCTTCCCTTATTACAATGTGTTGTGAATCTGAAAGAAGAAATACACTGGTACAAATGCTTGAATAGAACAAATGACGTTGACGGATGCAGAAATGAAAAAAATTACGGGAATTCAGTGCAAAAAAAATGATTCACTTTGATAATGATGCAATCTATTAGCATGAAGTTTTAATAATAAAGAAGACAGAATATTTTATACAGCGTGAAAATATATCAGATGTCGATCACTTTGCTTGAAAAAGGCGACGCTTGTACAAACACAACTTCACCTTATGACGGTGGTGTATAAAAAAAAAGCACATGAGAAAAAATGTACCTGTTTGTTTGTCTTTCGTTACTTTAAATCTTTTGCCTTTGGTGCATTCCGCAACACAATCGCGAATGAACTAAAAACGAAACGCCTTTTTATGAGCCAGGTGCGAGTACAAAAAACAAAAGGAAGCGCCTCTTACTCGCATGTTTTTTTAAAAGATGTACAGAACAAAAGGTAAAGCGTCAGAACGCGCACAATGCCGAAGCGGCATCGGCTTACCACGCCGAGGAAGCTGGCGACTGGAAAGGCTTCGGTAGCGTGATAAATGGACTAAACGCGCAGGTTTTCCCCCTCCTTCTCGACGCACTCCAAAGGTGCCATCAAGGATGCCGATGCTCCGAACGCGAGTATGGCGTTACACTATTATACACTGCTCTGAGGAGCGAGGACGGGTGTGAGGTTCCCGCTGAATTGTGAGCAAGGGCGGGCTTCGAATTTTCGCCGTGCGATGGGGTAGCAGATTACACAGGATAGCTTAGCCCGGCTGTGTGAGGAAAGAGCCTCCAGAACGTAAATTGCCGTCGGTGTCGTAGCCTCAACGCCGTAGGCGCTTCCCCCCCCCTCTCCCAAGCTGTCGATCACGGCTGCGCTCGACGGATGCATCGCCGAGATTAATGGAATATGCAAATGACCGCGCCCACACACGCCTCTTTGTGGCGGCGAATAGTAGAGTGAGTGAAAAGAGAGAGAGAGAGAGAGAGGTTGACACCTTCGGCATTGTCGAGTGCCGCCACATGGCTCCTGCCCGCTTGGCCGCATCAGTTGCCGCTTTTTTACTGCTCACCTTTTTTCCCCTGCGCACAACTCCAGCGGCACGAAAAAGAATAAGAAGAAGAGGAGAAGAAGAAAAAGACAATTTCTGACTCTGCCAAAGTGTGTATTCTTGTGCCCTTTTCTCCGTGGATATGAAGGAAGAGACATTTGCTTTGATCGATCACCTTATCTTGGAATCCGAGGGCTTTACTTCGAAACATATCTTTCGCGCAATGTTTCAGATAAATAATTTCCTTTTGAGCCCTCTCTTTAAGTACTTTTCCCAGAAAGCCACATCACGAGTGAAAGAAACATGTTTGCTGTTCACGACTTAGGCTCAAGGCACTGTTTTCATGGCGGTGTTTATGAAGAAGATGAGTGCAATTAAAAAGACTAAAACAAAGGTGGTGCTGAGAAAACAGGGGTCTTATTATTTTACTCAATCGTTTATTAGTAAAGCCCAAACATCCATGCGCATTTTTGCCGTCACCGTCGGTGTCGCCGTGAAGGGTTGAATAAAGCCAGAAGCCAAAAAAAAATGCCCCACTTGTCGTACAATCTACATTCGAATGAAAGCTGCTAGGGCAGACGGAGACTGGCGATCAAGGCGAGATGAGAAGCAGCGGCCGTCTTCTGTCACACGAAAAAAAAAACAAAAAAAAACCCGGAGAGGACCCGGAAAAACAAGAGCTATGTGGCTCTGGCAGGAACTGCGTATTTCAGTCGACCAGGTGCGGTCACGCGAGTACTATCTTGGTAGAGATTAGCAGACAGCCCATACCTTTGTACGTTTTATTTGTGTTGACGCTGGTGCTCGCGTGAGCTCTCGTATGAACATCACTATTCGCATCCTGCGCGTGATATGATCAGAAGGATCTGAGGCAATCGCGAGCTTCTCAAACGCTGTGGCGGAGTCGGAGTCGAGTGTCGCTAACGGTCTTTGTGGGGGAAACCCGTATACATCAAAACAAGGCAATAAGCAAGCGTGGCAATATGAAGGCCCAGCGTTTCCGCAAAGCAAATGTTGTGGTGTTGGTCTCCGCCTGTAACAAGTTGTTTTCATCGTTATCTCTGCATTGTTTCCCTTTTACGTCATAATAGATACTCTTGAATGAAAGCAAACTAACGCTGCAAATAACACCCGTTATGATTTTCTTTGATTGATTTTGGGCTTGTAAATCTTAAGGCCGTGTTCGAACAAAAGTTTTGGGGGTGCAATAATCCTCGAAACTGGCGTCTGTTATAGTCACTTGCTCATTGGCCCTCGCGGGCCTGGTGTATTTCTTTGGTTAACATCTTGTTTCGCACACTGCTGAAGCGGACATTAAAAACTGCGCATCGAAGCAAGCGCCTAGTTCAGATCTGTTCTATGAGCTGCCGCAATGAATGGGCTTCTCACAGCCTCACAACAAACTCATTCAATTATTTCTATAATTTTTTTGACGGTTCATCAACTCGAATTCTCAAAAAATTAAACTTCCATATCTTATGTATCCAATGTAACTATCAACCTAACAAGAACAGTCAATTTCTATTTAGGAGGTTTTTTTTATATATTGTTAAAACAGGACTTAATGCTCACCCGTATACGCTTGGAAGAAAATAAAGAACCGTCACACAAAGCTAGTGTTACGATGTAAACGGACACTTCAATACATCTGCCCTTTTGTTTACTCAGGATGATTACCCCACAAGAAAGCTGAGTGCCTCGGCGGTTCCTAGAACATATATGGACTCTTCGATCACCTAAAATTTTAAAGTGAAGGTCTTGCGTGGTGAATTTCATATTTTCTACTCTCATCACGTGCGCTTATCTGCTTCCCGAAGCACATGGCATAAGAAGTGGAGCGTAAATATTTTAAACTAATCTTGCCCCATCTTTTTTTCTTTTGCACTGTAGGGATCATCATAAACAAGGAAAGGTTAATTTTCAACTTTCTCTCAACTTTGGCAGAGCTGACGAGCACTGACCTTATTATTCACCTGTGCACTCGTGACAAAAAAAAATCGGCAGATCTCATATACCTTGGGAATCGACGTTATACAAAGCATGCGGAGGAAAGATGATCGTGTTGTAATTTTTTATAGGGCGGCACGTTATAAAATGACGCTAAATATATGCACAAATGTTGCACGCGTACACATATGTTGAACAGTTGGAGGTGTTCATATAACCACTTGTTTGCACTCGCGCAACGGTAACAACAGTAACATGAGTATTAAAACACCAGAAGCTTACAAGCTGATATCTAGCGCTCTTATTTTGAGGGTGGTAGCCTGGACACTGATACATAAATCAACTTCAGTGCCTGACACCTAACTACAATTGATGTTAACACGTCATGGTGGCTGTATTATAGGAGTACATATGTATACAAAATTTGATAGCCAGCACTGTAACCACAATTGACGTGTTCACGGACATTATGGTCTACTTGAGAAGCTTTTCCGAAGACCTGGTGTGGCTCTGTGGTAGAATGCTTGATTGCCACGCAGAATGCTGTGGTTGGATTCCTGCTGGAACCCTGTCAGTTATCCTATGAATTTTCCGGGTCAAGGCTGCCGATGTCAGCGTTTACTTAACGCTCACCCATGTCTATTTTCGCCTTTACTCGGTGTTTTCGCCTTTCCTAAGTGTCAGTCACCTGTGGCACATACCCGCATACCATTGGCACATACCCGCCTGCGGGTATGTGCCACTAGCTGGCGCGAGATGTTTGACGACGTACGTGACGGGATTGTGGCAATGTTCATCTCACGACCAGCGAGTCATATTCGTCAAACCATCTTACCCTGCCATACTAATTTTGGTTCACGCCAAGTTGAGAAAGTGTACACGAGAGCACCCAGACGTAAGCGGCTATATAGATAGATAAATACGCAGATAGACGTCAAAAGTACTTGCAGTACACAAAGAAATGCTTGGCATTTAAAGTAAATGACCACGTTTAAACCTCTCTAAGTACCCCGATTTGTGTAGCCAGAATCGCTATATGTGCGCCGGTCAAGTGAGATTTATACCAGAAATCAATGGTGCGCGAATGCAATCTGCCGCAATTTTTATGTTTTTTTTTAAAGAAACGCCCCTAGAGAACCCGGAAATTAAATGGTGCCTCTGCGGTTTGGTTCCAACAGCTGATTACAAGGTTGTGCATTTACTGTACTACTGAACCACAAAGCATCGTCCTACGCACGTTACTCTACTGCTCGTCTGTTGCACCGTGAATTATTTCGCAAACGCACGTTGGCGGAAATAACGCTCAGTGCGGCAAGGTTAAACACGGGAGGGAAAAAGAAGGCGACAGAAGCGCCCCAGCGGACGACAAATGTGTTTGCTTTCTGTGCCGAACACCGCCTTACTACAAACGTAATGTCTGAATGCATGTAACCACACGTGCAAAATAAATGCGCGCACGTAAAGATACTGAAGCTGTACGACCAATATAAGCAACAACAAAAGAAACTGGAGTTAACCGCCACGCGTAATACTTGTAGCTATCAAACGCTGTTGATAAAAATTTTTCCTGCTGGCCTATTCGAAAAAGCAAGCGAGGGAGAACCGATGGAAAAAGAAGTCCTGAAATTCTGTTTTGTGGTGGGTTTCTGATTATTATGCTGATTTTTAGTTTAACTAAAAAAAGACTGTACTCCTCTTGATTTAATCCGACTCTAAACAGCGGTTCATGTTCCGAAGCTTGGTTGCATACACTAGTGTGCCTAAGATTTACCTTTCACGCCTTTACAATTTGATGTTTCTTCCTTTCGTTTTTCTTTTTAAATGGACATTTTATTTCCCGTTGCTCAATGACAGTACTCACGTAAAATAATAATAATGTAAGCGGAAGGTGAGAAGAGATGGAGCTTTGCCTT